TTTTAAATGCTAAAGTAAAGTTATCTGCCTTAAATAAAAAATCTCAAAAAAGCATCAATTTTGTAAATAAAAAAATATATATCCCAAAAACAAATAAAAATGAACTTGTTTTGTTTCTAAAAAATAATTTGTCATAAAAATGCCTTCTGTTTAAGTCATATAAATTTAAATTAGAAAAAAACAGACAATAAAATTTTTATTCGGGCTCGAGCGCGTATTTTTGCGCTGTCGCGCATGGTTTGCGCCTTTTAGATGTTATATAAATTTCTCTTGCTAAAGAAAAGTTATTTGCTTTAAATAAGAATTCTAAAAAATATCCCAAAAACAAATAAAGAATGATTTGTTTTGTTTTCACAAAATTATTTGATAAAAAAATACCTTCTGTTTATGTTATACATTTAAATTACCAAAAAACTGACAATATTATTTGTATTCGAGGTGGCGCGGGTACATTTGCGCTGTCGCGCGTATATTTGCGCTGTCGCGCATATATTTGCGTATTTTAATGATATATACATTTACCTTGCTAAAGTAAAGTTTTGTTGCCTCAAATTTATAAAAAGAAATTGCCTTAAAACAATTACGGTCAAAAAAAAAATTTATTATAATATAGAAATCGGCGCTGCGCGCCTCTATTCTGTTATTTTTTGGATAATATTTTAGTGGTAATTTTTGAAGATCCAGAAAAAACGTTATTATTGTTTAAAATATAAAAAAAATAATTTACTGATGACACTCTAACTATTTTTTTGTTTGAAGGTTTAATTTTAAAGAACAAAAAACATTTTTTGTTTATTAGGGCTCGCGCGCGTACATTTGCGCTATCGCGCCTGTATTTGCGCTATCGCGCCTTTATTTGCGCTATCGCGCCTGTATTTGCGCTGTCGCGCATATGTATACGTGCGTGAGTGGGTATAAACTTTGAATTAAAAGTGTGGAAATTAGTTTTTAATGTTTACAATTTAAAAAATAACTTACCGATGACTCTCCGGAAATAGCCAAATATTTTTGTTTGAAGTTCTTATTTTAAAAAACAACCAAAATCCTGTGAAATCGGGCTTGCGCGTGTATATTTGCGCTACCGTGCGTATATTTGCGCTGTCGCGCATGTATTTGCGCTGTCGCGCATGTATTTGCGCCTTTTAAATATTATATAGGTACATTTATCTTGCTACAGTAAAGTTTAAAAAAAGCTTCAATGTTTTAATTAAAAAAAAAAGATATCCCAAAAACAAATAAAGATGGATTTGTTTTTTTTTCACAAAAAAGCATAAATTTTTTGATTACAAAAAAATCTTATCTTAAATTTTAATTAAAAAAAAGTCTCAAAATAATTATGGTCAAAATAAAAAAAATATAATATAAAAATCGGCGCTGCGCGCCTCTATTCTGCTATTTGTTACAATTGCAAATTTGCATATTTTTTGAAAATGCTTCTAAAACAAAGTTTGGATAATATTTTAGAGGTAATTTTTGAAGACAGACGAATTAAGGTATTATTGTTAAAAAAATTAAAAAATATATACCGAGAACACTTTGGAAACAGACAAATAATTTACATTTAAATTATAAAAGAACACACAAGTTTCTGTTTATTCAGGCTCGCGGGGGTACATTTGCGCTATCGCGCATATATTTGCGCTCGCGCGCACTTGTGTGTATTCGCTTATATCCTAAAAACAAATAAAGATGGACTTGTTTTCTTTATACAAAATGAGTTGTCATAAAAACGCCTTCTGTTTATGTCATATACATTTAAAATACAAAAAAATAGACAATATTATTTGTATTCGAACTCGCGCGGGTACATTTGCGCTATGGCGAGTGTATTTGCGCTATCGCGCGTGTTTTTGCGCTGTCGCGCATGTATTTGCGCCTTGTAAATGTCATATAGGTACATTTATCTTGCTAAAGTAAAGTTTTTTGTCTCAAAATGAAGTTCCCAAAAAAAGCGGCAATATTTTAATAACAAAAAATCGTACCAAAAAGAATGATCACACTCCGGAAATGGCCGAATATTTTTGTTGGAAGTTCTTATTTTAAAAACCAACCAAAATGCTGCGAAATCGGGCTCGCGCGCGTACATTTGCGCTGTCGCGCCTGTATTTGCGCTATCGCGCATGTTTTTGCGCTGTCGCGCATGTATTTGCGCTGTCGCGCATGTATTTGCGCTAACGCGCATGTATTTGCGCTATCGCGCATGTATTTGCGCTATCGCGCATGTATTTGCGTTATCGCTCATGTATTTGCGCTATCGCGCATATGTGGTTATAAACTTTATGTGCAACGACTAAATTAAAGGTGTGAAAAGTTTAAAATATTAAAAAAAATTCCTTACCGATGACACTCCGAAAATAGCCGAATATTTTTTGTTTGAATGTCTTATTTGAAAAAACAACCAAAATTCTTTGAATTCGGGCTCGCGCGCGTACAATTGCGCTATCGCGCATAAATTCGCGCTATCGCGCGTGTATTTGCGTTATATAAATGTTTTATTTTTTTATAGTATCGCTAATCGCGAGCAAATGTGAATACGTCAAATCTGACTTTTTTTAAACAGCTGAAAAATCCGTTTCCGGGTTTTCCGGAAATCTTCCGGTTTTACATTACCGGCCTCACTGGTGTCCATGTGAGAGCAAACGTTTAAAATTTCAGCACGATCGGGTCAAAATTGACCGAGTTATGCCCAAAAACGCATAAAAACGGGTATTTTATTTGGAAAAAATGCCTAAAAAATAATTTTCCGCAATTTTCAAAATTTTTGATTTTTTTCTTTTTGGTCTTCCAGAGGAAGTTATTTTACACAAATTTACTGAAGGAATTTTTTCTCGGCCTTAAATTAAGGGAGTTATAGACGTAAAAATGTACATGGAATAAACGTCAGATTTTGACGTTTCTTAAATTTTGAATTTAAAAAAATCATATCTCGAAAACCAACAGAGATAATCTTACGCGGTTTTCACCAAAAAATTTGCCATAAAAATGTCTTTTTTTAATATCTTATACATGATCTTGCTAAAATAAAGATTTCTGCCGAAAAACTGAAAATTAAATAAAAAACCGACAACTTTTAAGTTAAAAAAAATCATATCTTGAAAACTAATAAAGATACACCTATGCTGCTTTCACCAAACGATTTGTCATCAAAATATCTTTTTTTAATGTTATATACATTGTCTTGCTAAAATTAAATTGTCTGCATCAAAAAGGGAATTTAAAAAAAAAATTAAAAAAATTGACGAATTTTTGAAAAAAAATGTCCAAATCGTTTTTTGATTTTGATAGTTTTTTAAGGGGACATTTGCAGCATGGGCCCACACATTGTTGCCAAATTTCAAGTCGCCATCTGTTATAGGTCAAGAGATATTAATGATTTTGTAAAATAAATCGCAGAAGAAGAAGAGGAAAAAATTTTAAATTTTTTTTTTTGGCAAATTGGTCTACAAGACCATAGTTTACCTTAACGTAGGGTGAAAATTAAAAAAATGTGTTTACAAACAGTAGAAAAAAATTAATTAAAAATTGCCTGCATTTTTTAAAATAGCAACAAAAATAAATTGAGCAGTAGGCCATGTTAGTTTGTTTCGATGATTTTTATTTTTTATTATGTTAAATAACAATCCTTTGCACATCTATTCGTGTTTTTCGTTTACTTAAAGTCTTCTTAATTTTCGAGAAAAAAATTTTCAAAAAATTCCTGAAAAAGTCGAAAAAAATTTTTTTTTTCGAAAGTTGCAGGCCTGAAAAGCCCATATACTATACACTGCCATAGATAGTCCTCGTACACCTTTTCGCCAAATTTGGTCTTTCCACGTCGATCCCTTCGACCTGGTGACGCAGATAGACAATACCCCGAAATTTCGTCGTAAAAATCGATAAAAAGTGCACTTGTACCTTTCTTGCGCTAACCAAATTTGGACTAGATATGCGTCCCGTGGGGGTCAAAAAAGGGTGTAAATTTAAACTTTCCACCGTTTAAGGTTTTCGAGTTATGAATTTTTAAAAATTTGATGACAGATTCACAGACATCCAGACAACAGAAAAAATGAAAGTTGTTCAGAATTCGATTCCGAGTCGATCCATATATATAAAGGCATATCTATCTGCCCCGGAAGTCGCATTTTCAAAATTTCCCCTGCTTCTATAAGTCAAGGAGTCTTCGACTCCCTGACTAACTAGACAATTCCTCCGAAAGAGAAGCCTCTCCTAAAATCAGTCCGGTGTTAAGACGAAGTACCCGGAATATAACATCTTTATTTTCTCGTAACGATTATTTCAAGGAAAAAATTCTGAGCGGAACTTCGGAGGGATTAAAAGTTGAAATAATCGAAGGAAAAGGGAGAGGAGTAATTAGTCGCCCATAAGAAAAAGACTATTCTTATGGGCGACTTTTAGGGGGCTGTATCTCCTAAAAAGGGGGCCAATTGGCAAAACTAAAAAATACGTGTCCCCCAAATTTCTCTCAAGAATATGTGACCATTGGATATCTACTGGACATTTGTGCTGTCTGGAACAGGAAATATTTTATTTGTAAAGTCGGCAAACATTGCAGCCATATTTCGTAAGGTTTCTTTCCCAGTGGGTTCAATTTAGGGAATTTGTCTTTATTCTGTGGTTTAATAGTTTGTTTGTATTATTTACAGGCATTTGCAAAATTCCTCCCAGACCCGTTACCTATAGATTTCAACCACCGGTGCTATTTTGGGTTTCTCAACAAAAAAAAGATGAAATGAACAAAATCCATCGACAGTTTGGTCATACAAGATCACAATATAAACGTTTTTTGCTTATTCAAAGATATTGTATCGATAAAAAAAACTATCAGAACCCGAAAAGCGATTTGCAGACCTTTCCTATTTGATGCAGTCGAACATTTTAAATGACATGGAAATTAAATTTCATAGATCATTAATGAAACAAAACACATTGAGAAACATGGCAAGCTGGGTAAGACTTTTAAAATTTATGATAATTTTTATAATTGCAGAAATATTTTTTAGGCGAATCGGCGCATACGAACTCTAGAGGAAACATGCCTCGAGTGGAAAAGCAGGAAAATACCAGATGAAGAATTTATTTTCAAGGTGCTTGAGACACCTAAGATATTTTTGGCCTGGTTAACAAGATGCATCCAGTTAAATGAATCCTTTAAAATTGCTCAGCAACTGAGGGCAAGCAAAATGTTTCAGTACATTTTTGCCATTTTTAAATATATTCAAAGTAACAATCTTGAAGAATCAATATTAAGGGAAATTGATGATTTTATGGAAAAAGTAAAAGGAACAAACTTTAGCAAAACCCTTTTAAAAAATGTTGCTGATATTCATAAATTATCAATTTTTAAGGATTCTTCGATACAGACAAAAATAAAAAATAAAATTATAAAAATATTAAAATCAAAAAAATGGGCGAATCTTTTTGCTTTTCTGTTGAAATCTAGTGTGGAATTCAAGTTGTTGACTATATTAATGGTTTTCTTTTCAATTTGATAAAAACAGAACTTCATTTTACCAATGATAGGAAATTCTCAAAAAACCTCATAAATTTAAACCCGACCCAGTTGTTAATTTTGAAGAAGGTTCTGGAAAACTTCGCAAAAGAAAGAAAAGATTCCGAAAGTATGAGTGGGTATATAACTTCCTGGGATGAGATAGTGAAGAGTGTTCAAAAGTACACAGGCCAGTATTTCAATTTTAATTTAATTCGGATTGCATCACATAACACGAAAATTATTTCTGGCCAAAAAAAGCTTGTTCTTGTAAATCCGGAAGATTTAAATTTTTTAACCAATAAGGATGTTTTTCTTCGGTTATTGTTTAGAAGTTCAGACAAACTTGTTGAAAAAAAATGTTTCAATGAAAATCCTTATTATGTTTCTATTAAAGGAAAATCTTACGACAATCTGATACAAAGTCTTTTTTCCAAAAAAAAGAGAGCACTACCTTCGGAGGCGTTAATACGTCTTCAAGATAAACTAGACAATTCCTCCGAAAGAGAAGCCTCTCCTAAAATCAGTCCGGTGTTAAGACGAAGTACCCGGAATATAACATCTTTATTTTCTCGTAACGATTATTTCAAGGAAAAAATTCTGAGCGGAACTTCGGAGGGATTAAAAGTTGAAATAATCGAAGGAAAAGGGAGAGGAGTAATTAGTCGCCCATAAGAAAAAGACTATTCTTATGGGCGACTTTTAGGGGGCTGTATCTCCTAAAAAGGGGGCCAATTGGCAAAACTAAAAAATACGTGTCCCCCAAATTTCTCTCAAGAATATGTGACCATTGGATATCTACTGGACATTTGTGCTGTCTGGGACAGGAAATATTTTATTTGTAAAGTCGGCAAACATTGCAGCCATATTTCGTAAGGTTTCTTTCCCAGTGGGTTCAATTTAGGGAATTTGTTTTTATTCTGTGGTTTAATAGTTTGTTTGTATTATTTACAGGCATTTGCAAAATTCCTCCCAGACCCGTTACCTATAGATTTCAACCACCGGTGCTATTTTGGGTTTCTCAACAAAAAAAAGATGAAATGAACAAAATCCATCGACAGTTTGGTCATACAAGATCACAATATAAACGTTTTTTGCTTATTCAAAGATATTGTATCGATAAAAAAACTATCAGAACCCGAAAAGCGATTTGCAGACCTTTCCTATTTGATGCAGTCGAACATTTTAAATGACATGGAAATTAAATTTCATAGATCATTAATGAAACAAAACACATTGAGAAACATGGCAAGCTGGGTAAGACTTTTAAAATTTATGATAATTTTTATAATTGCAGAAATATTTTTTAGGCGAATCGGCGCATACGAACTCTAGAGGAAACATGCCTCGAGTGGAAAAGCAGGAAAATATTAGATGAAGAATTTATTTTCAAGGTGCTTGAGACACCTAAGATATTTTTGGCCTGGTTAACAAGATGCATCCAGTTAAATGAATCCTTTAAAATTGCTCAGCAACTGAGGGCAAGCAAAATGTTTCAGTACATTTTTGCCATTTTTAAATATATTCAAAGTAACAATCTTGAAGAATCAATATTAAGGGAAATTGATGATTTTATGGAAAAAGTAAAAGGAACAAACTTTAGCAAAACCCTTTTAAAAAATGTTGCTGATATTCATAAATTATCAATTTTTAAGGATTCTTCGATACAGACAAAAATAAAAAATAAAATTATAAAAATATTAAAATCAAAAAAATGGGCGAATCTTTTTGCTTTTCTGTTGAAATCTAGTGTGGAATTTCAAGTTGTTGACTATATTAATGGTTTTCTTTTCAATTTGATAAAAACAGAACTTCATTTTACCAATGATAGGAAATTCTCAAAAAACCTCATAAATTTAAACCCGACCCAGTTGTTAATTTTGAAGAAGGTTCTGGAAAACTTCGCAAAAGAAAGAAAAGATTCCGAAAGTATGAGTGGGTATATAACTTCCTGGGATGAGATAGTGAAGAGTGTTCAAAAGTACACAGGCCAGTATTTCAATTTTAATTTAATTCGGATTGCATCACATAACACGAAAATTATTTCTGGCCAAAAAAAGCTTGTTCTTGTAAATCCGGAAGATTTAAATTTTTTAACCAATAAGGATGTTTTTCTTCGGTTATTGTTTAGAAGTTCAGACAAACTTGTTGAAAAAAAATGTTTCAATGAAAATCCTTATTATGTTTCTATTAAAGGAAAACCTTACGACAATCTGATACAAAGTCTTTTTTCCAAAAAAAAGAGAGCACTACCTTCGGAGGCGTTAATACGTCTTCAAGATAAACTAGACAATTCCTCCGAAAGAGAAGCCTCTCCTAAAATCAGTCCGGTGTTAAGACGAAGTACCCGGAATATAACATCTTTATTTTCTCGTAACGATTATTTCAAGGAAAAAATTCTGAGCGGAACTTCGGAGGGATTAAAAGTTGAAATAATCGAAGGAAAAGGGAGAGGAGTAATGACCACCAGGCCATTCTCATCGGGGGAATTTGTCACAGAATATTGCGGCGAACTAATTAACCGAAAAGAAGCCTCTATAAGGGAAAAGGAATATAGAAATTTTGAAAGCATTGGTAGTTATATGTATTTTTTTAAATACAGAAATCAAAACTTTTGGTGAGTACAAATTTTATTATTATTTTCATACCCGCTCGATTAGAGATATAGTTTCTATGTAGATTACAAAGGTATTAATGTAACTGCTCGTCATAAAAAACGACGCACCTATTATAAAATTTTTAATATATTATTATAGGAACAACACATCTTCAAACAATTTCATAAAACATCTTGTCTTGTTTTTGCTTGTCCCGTCAGTAATCATGAAATCGCACACATTTTTTTCAGTATTGACGCGACCGAAGAAAACGGGACAGATGGACGGCTAATAAATCATTCCAGATCCGGAAATTTGGTGCCCAAACTGGTGGAGGTTGATGGGACACCTCATGTAATATTTATTGCCAGGACAAATATATCTGAGAATACAGAAATTTCTTATGATTATGGGGATAGAAGTAGAAATTCTTTAAATCAATTTCCTTGGCTGCGGAAATAATGTGAAAATGGACGGTTGCAGTAGTAAGTAAATTTAAATATGTTAGCTGGGAACTTACCCAGCAAACCAAATCATGTCACAGTGATATAACATTTATATAAAAATTGTTCCTTACCATGTATACATAAATATTATTTATGCAGTATTTACATTTGTAATATACAGGGTGTCCCCCCACTATCTCATTGGTATTAAAAAATTCCTTACCCCTAACTTGGAATTATGGCACTTCAAAAAATTTGCACAAATTTTACTAGTACCATAGTATTATAATACTTAATTAAGTTGTACAACTTAATACTATACTACTGGTAAAATTTCAGCTAATTAAAAAAAAATAACAAAATTTTAAAGTTGCCAAATAGAGAAAAACTATGTAAATACCATATAATTAGGTTATATCAATGATGTATAATTGTTCCGATGTAGGTATCATTGTTCTATGGCTGATACATAAAAGGGATGTAAATATAACAAGAGGGGAACATATTTATATAAATGTTATATTATTATGTTTTATCGTAAATAATACCACTAGTGGTAAAATTTTACAGATAAAATTTTTGATATTTATACGAATGTTTTTTCTTGGAAATTTCGCAAGTGGCATTAATTTTAAGACCACGAGCCGCTAGGCGAGTAGTTTTAAATTAATGCCACGAGCGAAATTTACAAGGAATAATCATGAGTAAATAAAAATCAAACATTTTTTCAGGGAAAATTTTATCACGAGTGGTATTCGGCTAGACTATTTCACGAATATTGTTTTATGTACAACAAATGTTTTATTGAAATATATATTCAATGGAATGGAACTACAAAAACTAACCAAATTTACAATTTCTGTATGATTTTTATTTTAAAATTAGAAACGTCAACATTGACAAATATTTTTCTCATAGCAACCAATCTAACTCCAAAACGCCTTTATTAATCTTTAAGAAATGTTGGTTAAAAATACTTCAACTCTCAGTTTACGTGTTTGAGGGTTTTTTGAGAAAATATTTTTAAAGCCCATTTTTTTAATATTAAAAAAACGTTCGAAAAATAACTTTTAGGGAAGTTTTTTTTTTCAAATAAATAAAAAATATGCTGTTAAGACCGTATTTTTGTTAGTATACTCTAAAAATTTTGTACAAATCAAATGAACAGTAACGAAGATACAGCGCTTCAAAGTCGGTAAAAATGCCCCTTTTTGATTATTTTGTTGAAAATTTTTAGAGTATACTAACAAAAATACGGTCTTTAACAGCATATTTTTTATTTACTTGAAAAAAAAACTTCCCTAAAAGTTAATTTTCGAACGTTTTTTTAATATTAAAAAATGGGCTTTAAAAATATTTTCTCAAAAAACCCTCAAACACGTAAACTGAGATATAAGTTGAAGTATTTTTAACCAAAATTTCTTAAAGATTAATAAAGGTGTTTTGGAGTTAGATTTGACGTTTTGAATTACATACCTCTTTCTACTTAGTAAAGCGGTCAACACAATTCATTTGGTAATAAAACAATAAAGCTTTATTATGGGCTAGCCCATACAAATATGCATGGGCTTTATTGTTTTATTACCAAATGATTTGTCTTGACCGCTTAACTAAGTAGAAATAGGCATGTAACCAAAAAGGCTTTGTTGTTACCTATATGAATAGTATTGTATTTATTTTATCAACGCGATATAATTTACCTAGAATTTTGAATTTGACATTTGGATTTGGCGAAGTGGGGACTGGCGTAATCTTCAATATTGCTACCGGGAGCCCGGGGGATTTTTTTTTTTTTAGTTCTGGTAACTAACTTTAGTTTGATAGGGTCTTAACCTATTAGGGTCATAGTCAGGGTCCTTTCCTCTTCATGGATAAAGTTGACTACATATTAGTTTAATTAGTTTAATTAAAATTAAATACACTGCGCCTCAAAATTAACGCATAATAAGTAAAAAATTCTAACTCTAAAACCACTTTACCAATCTTTATTAAATTTTGGATAAAAATACTTTAACTTATATCTATCCTCCGGTATGAGGTTAAACTGCCAAAGGCTCTATATAGCTATCATCTTCCATTTATGCCTAATCTATGCCTAGTGGGTGAATGTTCACCGGCAGGATAGATCTGATACTTTTAATAGGTCCACTGGTGTTCCCAAGTGGAACACCAACCAATCGATTATTTTCATACTATAATAGTGTCCGTCTAGTTTGTATTGGCCTCTCTGCTTGAGGCTGGCTGGCTCCTAAGACTTCTGGGCTCTGCGGCCCACTCCTTCCCGTCTTCGGGAAGCAGGGCCCAGTCGCCAGCGAATACTGGCGCCAATAGGCTGCTTGATCCAATTGGGAGCTCTCAATCTGTCATCTATTTCGATGATTTTCACACGATAATAATGCCTGTCAACTTTGTATTGGCTTTTCCTGGGACTGGCTGGCTCCTTAAGACTGCAGGGCTCTGTGGCCCACTGCTTCCCGTCTTCGGGAAGCAAGGCCTACCTGCCTGCTGATAGCTCGCTTATTGCTCTCAATCGATGATTTGTACCCGATACCAATGCCCGTCCACTTTGTATTGGCTTTTTCCTCAATTGGCTGGCTAGTTCCCAAGACCATGGTCTCTGCAAGTCCTCGCTTTACAAGCACGATCAGCACTCTTTGGTCTGCCCCTCATTTGGAGGGAATACCGTTGACCTCATTCAATCATTTAACAATTTATAATAATGAATGCGCCCAATCGATTGGTTTGCTATCTCCTTAAATCGGGGTTTATTGGCTTTTAGACATTTTCGTCTATTTAGCCAGCTCATTATTTATATTTTTATATTCTTTAAAAACAACCACAACACCCAAGGCTGTGACCGGGAATCGAACCCGGTGCCGTGGCGCAGATTTGTCTACCGCTCTGTAGCTTTAACCCACTGCGCCATCCTCGGCCCCTGTTTATTTGGTTCTATTCAAAATTCTATTTTGACATTGTGGGTAATGTCAATATCATTATGTATTATGTAAAATAACCGATAGATGGCGCCACCAAAAGCGGACAATAATGAAGGCGGACGAAAAAGTGTTATTTTTCGGCCGCTTTTGGGTACTAAAAATCCCCTTTATAGTTAGGGTCGACTAAAAAACATTTTTAAAGCCTTTTTATTTAATAATGAAAAAACGTTCGAAAAATAACTTTTAGGGAATTTTTTTTTAAGTAAGTAAAAAATATGCTGTTAAAGACCGTATTTTTGTTAGTATACCCTGAAAATTTTGTACAAATCAAACGAACACTAACAAAGATACGGCGCTTCAAAGTCGGTAAAAATGGCTCCTTTTTGGTTATTTTGCTAAAAAGTCATTTTTGACGATTTTGAAGCCCTGTATCTTCGTTACTGTTTGTTTGATAGGTACCTACAACATTTTCAGGGTATACTAACAAAAATACGGTCTTTCACAGCATATTTTTCATTTACTTCAAAAAAAAATTTCCTAAAAGTTATTTTTTGAACGTTTTTCATTATTAAATAAAAAGGCTTTAAAAATATTTTCTCGAAAAACTCTCAAACACGGAAACTGAGATATAAGTTAAAGTATTTTTATCCAAAATTTAATATAGATTGGTAAAGTGGTTTTAGAGTTAGAATTTTTTACTTATTATGCGTTAATTTTGAGGCGCAGTGTATTTAATTTTTGAATTTTTGATTAGTGTTTATCAATAACTGGTATATTATATCAAGTTGATAAAAACGCGATATAATATACAGAGTATTTTGAGTTTGGGTTTGGCGAAGTGGTTGTTATATTATATCAGAACGATATAATATTAAATCTTTGATTGGTGTTTATCACTAACAGGTACATTATATCAAGGCGATATAATGTCCATAGAATTTTGAATTTGACATTTGGATTTGGCGAAGGTGGGACTGGCGTAATTTTCAATATTGCTACCGGGAGCCCGGGGGATTTTTTTTTTAGTTCTGGTAACTAACTTTAGTTTGATAGGGTCTTAACCTATTAGGGTCATAGTCAGGGTCCTTTCCTCTTCAAGGATAAAGTTGAGTACATATTAGTTTAATTTTTCTGACGTTTATTTGCCGTTTAACACAGGAATTGCCTCATTCCGTATTTCTTTCACAACCCGTTACCTATAGATTTCAACCAGAAGTGCTATTTTGGGTTTCTTAACAAAAAAAAGATGAAATGAACAAAATCCATCGACAGTTTGGTCATACAAGATCACAATATAAACGTTTTTTGCTTATTCAAAGATATTGTATCGATAGAAAAAAACTATCAGAACCCGAAAAGCGATTTGCGACCTTTCATATTTGATGCAGTCGAACATTTTAAATGACATGGAAATTAAATTTCATAGATCATTAATGAAACAAAACACATTGAGAAACATGGCAAGCTGGGTAAGACTTTTAAAATTTATGATAATTTTTATAATTGCAGAAATATTTTTTAGGCGAATCGGCGCATACGAACTCTAGAGGAAACATGCCTCGAGTGGAAAAGCAGGAAAATACCAGATGAAGAATTTATTTTCAAGGTGCTTGAGACACCTAAGATATTTTTGGCCTGGTTAACAAGATGCATCCAGTTAAATGAATCCTTTAAAATTGCTCAGCAACTGAGGGCAAGCAAAATGTTTCAGTAGATTTTTGCCATTTTTGAATTTATTCACAGTAACAATCTTGAAGAATCAATATTAAGGAAAATTGATGATTTTATGGAAAAAGTAAAAGGAACGAACTTTAGCAAAACCCTTTTAAAAAATTTTGCTGATATTCATAAATTATCAATTTTTAAGGATTCTTCGATACAGACAAAAATCAAAAATAAAATTGGAAAAATATTAAAATCAAAAAACTGGGCAAATCTTTTTGCTTTTCTGTTGAAATCTAATGGAGAATTTCAAGTTGTTGACTATATTAATAGTTTTCTTTTAAATTTGATAAAAACAGAACTTTATTTTACCAATGATGGAAAATTCCCAAAAAAACTCATAAATTTAAACCCGACCCAGTTTTTAATTCTGAAAAAGGTTCTGGAAAACTTCGCAAAAGAAAGAAAAGATTCCGAAAGTATGAGTGGGTATATAACTTCCTGGTATGAAATAGTAAACAGTGTTCAAAAGTACACAGGCCAGTATTTCAATTTTAATTTAATTCAGAGGGATTAAAAGTTGAAATAATCGAAGGAAAAGGGAGAGGAGTAATGACCACCAGGCCATTCTCATCGGGGGAATTTTTCACAGAATATTGCGGCGAACTTATTAACCGAAAAGAAGCCTCTAAAAGGGAAAAAGAATATAGAAAATTTGAAAGCATTGGTATGATACTTTGATACAATTGCATTGGTAGTTAGTTACATGTAATTTTTTAAATACAGAAATGAAAACTTTTGGTGAGTAGGTACAAATTTTATTATTATTTTCTTACCCGCTCGATCAGAGTTATTTTTAATGTCAAAAGGCACGGTGGTCCTCGATTAATTTCAACCCAAAAGTCTTCGCACCTCAATTTTAAAAATATTTTCTCAAAAAACCCTCAAACACGTAAACTGAGATATAAGTTGAAGTATTTTTAACCAAAATTTCTTAAAGATTAATAAAGGCGTTTTGGAGTTAGATTTGACGTTTTGAATTACATACCTCTTTCTACTTAGTAAAGCGGTCAACACAATTCATTTGGTAATAAAACAATAAAGCCCATACAAATGTGCATGGGCTTTATTGTTTTATTACCAAATGATTTGTCTTGACCGCTTTACTAAGTAGAAATAGGCATGTAACCAAAAAGGCTTTGTTGTTACCTATATGAATAGTATTGTATTTATTTTATCAACGCGATAAAATATAAAATCTTTGAATCTTTGGTGTTTACCACTACCTGGTACTTTATATCAACGCGATATAATTTACCTAGAATTTTGAATTTGACATTTGGATTTGGCGAAGTGGGGACTGGCGTAATCTTCAATATTGCTACCGGGAGCCCGGGGGATTTTTTTTTTTAGTTCTGGTAACTAACTTTAGTTTGATAGGGTCTTAACCTATTAGGGTCATAGTCAGGGTCCTTTCCTCTTCAAGGATAAAGTTGAGTACATATTAGTTTAATTTTTCTGACGTTTATAGCAAATCGGCGCATACAAATTTTAGAGGAAACATGTCTTCGGTGAAAAAGCAGAAAAATACCAGATGATGAATTTATTCTCAAGGTGCTCGAGACTCCTAAAATATTTTTGGTATGGGTGACTAGATGCATCAGGTTAGATGAATCCCTTAATATTGCCTAGCAACTGAGAGCAAGCAAAATATTTCAGTACATTTTTGCCATTTTTCAATATATTCGCTGTAACAAGTTTGAAGATGCAATATTAAGGGAAATAGATGAATTTATGGAAAAAGTGAAAGAAAGCCACTTTAGCAAGACCATTTTAAACAATCTTATCGATATTCATAAATTCTCAATTTTTAAGGATTCTGAAATGCAATCAAAAATAAAATTATTTTGGTATGATACTTTGATACAAAGCCTTTTTTCCCCAAAAAAGAAAGAATTTGCAAAATTCCTCCCAGACCCATGACCTGTCGGTTTCAACCAGGGGTGCAATTTTGGGTTTCTCAAAAAAAAACTTTAGTATTATTATTATATTGTCCAGAAGTTTAGCCAAATTCGTTAAAAAAAATGTTTCGATAAAAATCCTTATTACGTTTCTATTAAAGGTAAATCGTATGATACTTTGATACAAAGCCTTTTTTAGTCTCAACTTAAATCAAGTTACTTATTTTGCAGAAAAAATATTTTTAGTTACCATATGAATAAGTTTTTCAAAATATATATATTTTTTACCCATTACTGTTTAGAATGTTTTTTTGACGTTTACTTAAAATATTCTTCAAAGGAGATGGCCGCTTTTGAAATTAGACGATTCATATCGAATATATTCCGTAATTTAAATTTTTACATCTGGCAACACTGCATTCGGTTCAGTATGTGCGCGATTAAGCTTACAAATGGTCATGGAATGCGCTGCGTCCAAATCTCGCAAATCTTGCGAGATCGCGCATGATTTTTCGTGCAAGACTAATCTTGCAGAATTAGTGCGAGATCTTAGTAGATTCTGCAATACAATCAAAAATTAAAAATAAAATAAATAATAAAATAAAATTTACTTCGTTTATTGTTCAGAAGTTCAGCCAAATTAAATTAAAAAATTAACAATTCCTGACCACGAGGAAACTTGTGAGGATTTATTCATGGAAGAATACATAAGGTGTTGCTATAAGAACAAAAGAACAGCTAAAAATAAGAATATTCAAGGAGAGATCGATAGAGATGGATCTACATTGCTCAATAAATGGCAGGAGAATGATTTTTCTGTCTTTATAGTCCAGTCACGTTGGTATTATTTTCAGGCATTTGCAAAATTCCTCCCAGACCCATAACCTATCGGTTTCAACCAGGGCACAGTGTGTTATAGTATATTATGTATCAGTACAAACTTGCATATAAACTTTTTAAATATTGGCGTCAAGAAGATATTTAATTTCTATTAAGATAATAAAATAATTTCCGTATTTAGTATTATTTTCCAAGAAGGGCATTTAATTTTAACGATTGTATGACATCTGACAAATGTCAACAAACGTAAAGCTAACCTCAACCCGTGACTAAAAACCTGTTGCTAACTTCAGCCCGTGACTAAAAACATGTTGCTAACTTCGGCCCGTGACTAAACACTTAGTGTTTTTAAGGTGGGAGTATGTGCGCGATTAAGCTTACAAATGGTCGTGGAATGCGCTGCGTCCAAATCTCGCAAATCTTGCGAGATCGCGCATGATTTTTCGTGCAAGACTAATCTTGCAGAATTAGTGCGAGATCTTAGTACCTTTTTCGAGATCTTGGTATACCGAGATTGCATTCCCTCCACCCAAGGCTGTGACCGGGAATCGAACCCGGTACCATGGCGCAGATTGTCTACAGTTCTGTAGGTAGAGTTGGGAAAATTTCACTTTTTGCTGGTACTTGAAAACTAACTTTAGTTTTCTAGGGTCTTAACCCATTAGGGTCATAGTCAGGGTTGGTTGGTTTAATTTTTCTGACGTTTATTTGCCTTTTAACACAGGAATTTCCTCATTTTATTTTTCTTTTACAACTTTTAAACTTGATTGGTGATTTTTATAGTGGTTTCTATAAGTAGAGCTATAATTATAATTAGTTAGTGGTTTTAAAAATTAAAGGAATAAATTAATAAAAAAAATAATTTTGCATAAATTATTTATTATTGAATTAGGTACATAACATTTCATATATATGAAAACATAAAAAACATTTATAAAAAAATGTCTCCTACAGAATTTTGAGGCATTAGGCGTTATAGCAACCTGCGCGCTTAAAGTCTAGCCTTTTTTTGCACTTCTGTCAACTTTGGAGTGCCGTAGAGTCTAAACGTCTCATGCCTCAAAATTTGACATAACTTTACACAGAAACTTGTATTAATTTTAATTGTATTACAAATCAATGTAAAAATAGTTTTGCTAATATTGGATTTTATTAGGCGAATTATTTTTATAAAAAGAACACAGGCTTTAGTTTGAACCAAAAAATTTAATTGAAATCGTTTAAATATGTTTTATTTAATTTTAATTTAATAAATTATTGCAGTGCCCCGTCAATGACGTGCCTTTACGCGTAAATAATTAATTTTGTATTGTTGACGTAAGGAATTCGTCAAGAATACGTAAAGAATGTAAAGAATAAAAAAATTGAGGTTATATTTTTACATTTTTACGTAAATAATAAGTTTTGTAAAGAATTGATTTTTTACACGTAAAGAATGACGTAAATAATTGACGTAAACTTTACGGCACATCACTGCCTGTCATTAATAGAATGTCATCAGTATAGCGCGGAACTTTTCCAGCGATGACGTCAAAATGTTTACGAAAACCTGAGTTAAAAAAGTAAACACCTATCTTAATACATGTGCAAAAAATAACTATAATATCACAACATAATCATTGTGATGTTATCGCTGGAAAAGTTCCGCGGTATAGTCATCAGCCTTAAAACACTTTAAATATGCTGAATTGTTATTTTATAAGTCCCTTATATTTTTTATAGTTCTATAAATACCAATACAATACATTGTATTGTGAATTAAACTGTCTTGGACTATCTTCATCTTTGACTCTTTTATAACATAACGTTTCGGTTTACTGACGCATGTCTGATATATTTTTTGTTATTTATAAATAGAATGTCATTAGTCCTGTAATTAACAGTTACAAAATGATAAATAATATTATTAGTAATATTTTAAAATGTATTTATTTTATTATCTTGTGCAAAAAAATATATGTATATTTTGATGATTTTATAATAAAAAGAAATATAATGTTTTTGGGTTTAATTTCAATGTCTACTTACTTAAAATACCCACCATCTTTAGAGAAAAAATGTCCAATGGATATTTTTAACTTAACTCATCAAACTTTAAACTCATTGAGCTACCTGTAAATGTAATCCGATTGAGGTAAAATTTTGCTAAAATTATTTTTTTGGTTAGTAGAAACAAATAATAAGGTAAGATAAAAATTATTTTAAATTAAAAAAATAAGGACCACCCTATAGGCCCATTGTACTTATGATT